TATTGCTGAGTGCGGCGTAAAACTAAACTCACTCACTCACTACAAATTGTAGTACCATTGTTGGGTGGATTCCCATCCGGGATTCGAACTTACACTCTCACAGTCAAACACGTTCAAACCACTCAGCCACCTCGGCTTCCATAAGAAACTAGAAGCTTTACTTTACTGAGAAAGTGTTATCCAATTATAACATGTGTCACATTTGACCACTTTCTAAATGGCATTGTGTATTCATACATTTTACATAAAAATTGAAAAGGGTTATTATATACAGCAATACTGAACGTCGGGTAGTCCATGTAGAATGGTGAAACGACGTAGTGTGAACTGTGTAAACTGTTATATTTATCGCTGATTTAAGCATTTAATTTGTTAATTCCAAAAATGTATATAAGATGTTTATCAAGTATCATACGACATAATTTACTTTAACACTTTATTGTACCTGCGTTGTCTTATCAGTTGTTGTCTCAACGTTTACACAATTACAAAGCAGGTTTGGTTGTCGTTAATTCTGAGCTAGAAAACTTGGTACTGTTCCTTCGTGTTATTTGTATAATTCACACGAAGCAAGTCATTTTCCCGTATTTGGAGATTGTCTTTGAGTCCCGTCTCTTGGTTTGCTCGTAACTACAGTTCGTCTCGCGCATGTAACGGATTACGTCAATGTGAAATACAGAAACATGTTCAGTAATGATGATGTGTGTTCCAAAGTCAACACATGCTTGCTTTTCTTGTTTGTTGCTACCTTTAACATTTAAATGGCTCATCTCTGGGTAGGCATGGACATTTGCTAATTTCCTGGAAATTTCAGAATGATTTTGCACTTGATCAGGTAATTTCTGATTACAACGCTTTATGTAAACAAAATAGATCCTTTAATGCATCATTTGCTATTACCGATGTGTTGTATGCGTATTCCGTATATAAAGTGTTGTATCTTCTCTGGAACTAAAGTGTTCAGGTTCACAGTCCAGGTGGGATTTGTCTCTTGATTTGTGTGAACACATGTCGGTGGCAACTTCGTGGCATTTGTGGTGACTCTGCCGTCTACAGCCAGTGTTGCGAAGAAGTTACTATAGAACAATGTACTACTCTGGTTACAAGTTCTTCCCAGTGCAAAATTTTCTGAAAAGGAAGTACACGTCAGCATCACAAGCAGAGTGAACAAGTACTAGTGACACGTTGGCATGACATTATCCATCTTCCTCATACTCACGTCTCTGACAGTACGGACCAAGCCATCCCTCCTGACACTTGTCCTAACCAGCCATCAGACTACAGGGAAATGAGGGGAACTTGGCACAGAGCCCTGTGGTACTAGAGTGACATTCTGCATCTGTTTGAAAAACATGGCTCCACTTGTTACTCAGTCATTTCCGAATATACATAGCAATGTAGTATTGTTAGAATTCGAGGATAGTTAAGTGCTTGTGGATCAAGTCAACACATGATATACAAATGTTGAGACTTGTTTCGCATTAAGTTAATAATAAAGTTCTTACCAGAGAGGGTCACTGTGACACAGACAACGAACAGTCCCATCCAGAGCCATCCCATGCCGGATACCTAAAAGACATACGAACTTCTGTCCAAATAAGATTATTACTCTGTCTCCCCATAATATATTATCTCATGACAACAAATGTATCAACACGGCTATCAGCATGAAATATATATACACTTACGAAACAAACCCTAGGAGCAGATCATGTGATCTTTGCTACGGCATTTGATACGACGTCGTTTCTCGATATCGTCAAAGCAATCATAAGTAAACATGCTAAAAGTACAAGACTTGCACTGTACATAAAGTAAAGAGTAGTTATTATCATCTGCAGGCTTGTAAAGGGTAAAATAGTATTAGTGAAGCAGATAGTGCGGATTTATGTTTTTCAGCTACACTTACTAAATGTATGTGGAAACCTGTGACTGTACACCTTGGTCTCTTAAATGTTAATAAATATACCATTGGAACAGTTTCACTTGCATTTTGTTATCGTCGCATTTGTTAACTTGCATTATTGATATCGTCAAATGGTTATGAAACATATGTTGTTATCGACTTAATATCGAATCTTAATATAGCAATTACACAAACGCTTCTCACGAAACAAACTATATTCCTTCGGCACGTACACAATTCTATGTATTAAACTAACACGTGCCAGACATTACTTGGTATTTTAGACTGATGAAGAATTGTGATTTGTCGTCTTAAGCCGTAACTTAAAGAAGGACAGGGCCAGCCCAGAATACTCGGAGTTCAGATAAGTTCAGATGTATTCTTCGCGTAGTGTTTTACAAGTCCACGGACCGATCATGTACGCGAGGCAGGCTGGCGATCTCCTTACCATCTGACAGTGTCTTAAAGCGCCAACTAAAGAGTTATTGTATATTTTAACGATCTGACTCCTGGTGTTACGCCTACTTGCACAATTGGCTACACTAACAATGGATGAATCACTGATCACTCTGTAATGACTCTCGTCATAAGAACGGGTATCTGTCGGGGACTGCACATTGAATAATGCATAACTGCTTCCTGGATTATAAGGTACAATTCACAAGGACATCAACACACCAGTGATTTTCTTGATCAGGGTGAATCTGATAACAACATTACCCTTTTATAGATGGAAGACTCTCTCGTCTTTAGTTTTTGACACTGCTATATTCATGTCTTTGATGCTATGATTTAACAAGTGATGTAGATGTGTCCATATATATTACAAAAAAGATGGAGTCATATATCAAGTTTCATGAACGAAGCAGATATCCACACAAAAATCTCCACACCTAACACAGTTTTCTATGCATTGCAACCTACAATAGACTAAGATTACCAAGTCACAGCATCTCTCACATGACAGTGAATGAGTGAGTGAGTGAGTGAGTGAGTTAATATTTTAAGACACAGCGGCAGTATTTCAGCCATATCGTGACTAAAACAAGTTATCTATATTCATAATCAATAACGTCAAATTATAAAACCCTGTCAACAAAGGACCGTAAGACATCTAGAGGATAACAGATATAGATATAAAACTAGTATGAAAAGACCTTTAAACTATAGTAGATAATACAATATAAAAACAGACTATATATTGCCAACAACTGAAGGTAGATCACCATACTAGGGACCATGGGGACTTACAGTACATCACAGCACAGGGTAACCCAAGAATGCCTTGTAAATAGATGATTTCGATGTCGATGTCGATGTCGATGTCGATGTCAATGTCGATGTCGATGTCGATAATAGCGACGTCGTAGTACTTCTTCTTTCGGAAATGAAGCTGTCTATCTCACATGTGTAACACAATTATGATGCAACAGATACTTTAGGCATCACAATTATACATATACAGATGATATACATGTAAAACCTCATAACACTCAACGATGTCCTCGCAGATAGATAAAACACTCTACAACACAACCAGGAAGACAATTGTAGGGGACGACCACATGTCCTCCTCACCCAGTAGTGTCAGTTTGTATGGACTGTTTGTGTTGACATTACATCCTGGATTGTAGGTTACCTTTTTAACGGTTAAGCTGTTCATTACTATTTTGAATATTTGGTTCAGCCTACATTGTATGCCTAAATGAACAAACCGTTTTATTCTCCTGGGTTTGAGATCACCCGTGGAGGGTAGAGAGAGGTTTTAATAAGAACTGTTCAGGGATATAACCTGTGAGAGGGCATATTTATACCTTTTGTTACTAAAGGTTTAAACTGTGTGTTCAAGTATGATCTTAATGCACAGTACAAAGTACTTATGTTTACTGAAAGAAGATACCGTGTATGTCGTGCAGAGATGTTTGAACAATGAAGTGAGTGAGTTAATATTTAGCGTCACATCGGCAATATTTCAACCATATCGTGACGAGAACAATTTAATAAAACAGACTTACAAAAGTACACGCTTGATGCTTTGGTAAAATGTTTTCCTAAAAACAGCGTAATATTTAGAAAAGTGTTTTGATTGTGATACACTCTTCACAAACATTGCGTACGTGTTGCAATAACACCATAGATATCGTACCCAATTGGAACATTGCTAGCAAAATATTTACGTTTTTAATAGCCTCAAAACAACAGGTGTGTACTTTCTTTTGTACATCAGTATATATCAATATTTCAATCCATAAATTTAGACCGCAAAAATCTGTCATCGAAGGATAGTAAAAATACTAGATTATCACAGATATAAATTTAAAACTAGTACGCGATCGTAAAATTATATCACTATAAACAGTACAAAATAAAAACGGGCTGTAGAGCACCAACAACTGAAGGTGGATCACCATACCAGGGTCCATGGGGACTTACAGTACTTTTGTTACCTACATGGACCCTAGCTAGATTTACACATCCTTTCAGATGCTGGCGATTAACTACTAGTAAATGAAGTATAATCATCCTGTTGAACACAGTATTCTACAGTTGTATTCTAATTTCTCCTTGCGTTTCACATCTTTGAGTCTTTTATAGTGTATTTTCGTAACACATCGCACTTGCTCTCGAGGACATACGCCATACACTGGCCTGGCTATACGCACAGAGAGGCCTATGAGTAAGTAAGTGAGTGAGCGCGTGCGTACGTGCGTGCGTGCGTGCGTGCGTGCGTGATTGAGTGAGTAAAATAATTATCGTCACATTGGCAATATTTCAACTATATTGTGACAAGAACCAATTTGACATTGATAAGGGATAACTGTATAATATAAAACCTGTCATCAAGGGACAGTAGAGGCACTATGAGTCCAGTAGTGGCTAAACGTATTTTACTGCTGTCGTTATTTAGAGAAAAACCATTGGATATTAACTACAACTACCCTTTGGCATTTGTCAATTCTTACAATCCACTTAAATAAATCACTTCTAAGCATTCATTTGGTTGCCCACACACTAATCCCCTCCGGCATATGTGCATTTCCGTCGACTATACTCGGAAAGAAACATGAGAGACAATGAACAGCTGACACATTGATGGATAAGAACATTTTATTCTTTGCACCGACATCACAATGGCCCTTCATCAAATATGGATCATTTATATGTATCTGTAAGCTGAAATGTTTACACAAGGTTGGTTTAGTAGTGAGTAAGTGGGTTAAACTTTTACATCGCATCGGCAATATTACAGACATATCGCGATGAAAACAAGGTAATCAATTTTAATAGCTGTCGACAAAGGACAGGTTGGTTTAGTAAACAAAACTAACTCCTGGTAAAAAGCCAAACACCAACATCAATATCTGTTTAAACTAAAAGGTAACTGCACACAGCTATTGTAATACAAAAATGAAGCCAGTCATTAACCGACACCAATGCCAGCTGAAAAATTGCAAAGTATTATTTCTATGACATTTTTATGTTACGAACAACCTTATTATTACGATCATGAAAGCTACACCACTATTTGTCACAGTTTGGTGCTAATTTAGTTCGGCTACTTTTAAAGTTCTTCTTAACGACAAGCAAATGTTCCAGGGCTTCATTTTAAACCTGGAACCCGCGTCCTGATCTTGTAAACGCCCCAAACTGGTGAACTGTTTTAAACCTACCACAAAATGAAACAAATCTTCCAAATACTTACTATGGGTACTGTACAAAAATACTAATAACGAAGGAGGAAAATGAAGTAGGCGAACACAATTCATAGAAAATAGCAATGATCCATAACTTCTTAAATTACTGATGAGCTTAATGCACTGATCTCATAAACGAAATCAGAGTCAGACACACCAACTTAAAATAGTTGACACAAGAATAAAGAATTGCACTCCCAATCCGCTTAGAGTGATGTCGTGCCTGCTGTTCGAAAACGTCAGGGTTAAATAACATATCCATGCTCACTGGCCGCAGGTTAAAACATAACAAAATACAATACAAATAGGCGTTATTGAACGACGTAAATATTATGGATAGACAGCGTGTTGTTCATATGGATACATTTATGTTATATATCAATAATAAAACATGAGATAACAGCATATATATTTTGTCTCATATTGTACGACAATATGACGCCGTGCACCTTCCAAAGAAACATACCATGGTTTGGCACTAACAGAACAGCCATCAGTGGCACCTTTGACATTAATAAAATGACGTATGCACTTTCGGGCATGTCTGAACGTTCGACTTGTATGAAACTATAGGTGCATGAGGCTTATTATTGATGATATATTTTACATTCATCAAAAAAAGGTGTCCGCGAAATATGTACATACAAGCATATATATACGTTCGATATATATGAAACGATATTAATATTTTTCCTGGTATATATAATTTTGAGGTGATGCACTTAAGTGCAGGAATATTTTTAAAGTAACACAGCTTTGTGCAATTTACAAACCTTATGACACGACAAGGAACACTAGCAACTAGTAACTTCATCCATGCTGTGAATCAAAATTACATCTTCGGGGTAATAAGCAAACGCTTCAGCTGCGTTTAAATATTTGAAATGTTTCAAACAGTCTAAATACTATGCTGAGTAAATATGTATTTCAATGCAGCAACATGGTTAAAGTAACAAAACGATTAGCAACTTTCAAACCACGTGTATTATCGAGAACTTGTCGTCACATAATGTACACATTAACGTTGTGAATCAAACTTACATATTCGGGGCGACAAGCAAACGTTTCAACCACAAACAGTTAATCAGGGAGAAATATTCCAAATAATAATTACAAAAGGTCATACACTGTATCATAATATGAGCTATATTCGACAGCGCTGAGTTCAATGAACAATGTTTTTATGTTTTTGGTTAAGCTTTACTATGTCACACCTAATTGAAAATGATGGCGAAATATTTGAATATTTGCAGCGTCAGATGTGTCAAAGTCACATTGTTGCACTTGTTGGGTTGATGTCAGCTGACAACCTGCATCGGAAACGGGTCCTATATATGCTGCTCAGTCGTGACAACCGCTGCTCACTAGTGAAAACAGCTTGACAAGACATCGTTTCAGCACCTCCGATAGTTCGTACTATCCCTGCGAAGATAGTCCGACAATGTCTACGTCTCATTAAAAGCTCGTAACCAGATCGGCACAACTTCAACAACGAAGTCATTCAGTGTTGCGGGCTACACTCGCGGTGGATAGTAAGACAGTGGATCCGATTAACTGAAAAGTCATGTTTCCTTCACCAGACCGATAGCAAGACGTGTTAACATCGTTGTTGAGGTAATGAATACGCCAGGCCAAGTGTTCTTGATATCTTTCATGATCAGGGGTGAAATAACTGTTTAAAGGAGGACTCAGATCATTGCAGTTGATGAATAATAGCTGATTAACCATTTTCACAATCGTGACATTGTTGATATTTTACGCCAGAACACGACTTTCTCGAATATAATTATAAGTGACCTACAGTGAGAAACTACGTTTTTCCACACTCAGAACAATTTACGTTACAAAAGACTACACTACATCAATATACACCAAGACGTGACGCTTTATGCAACTATTCAGTTCAAATTCACTTCCACTGCATTGATATATGGAATGGTATTGTCAATCTGTTCATATGTGCTCTCAACAACTGGATCCTTGGTATTCTCGTCTAAAGATAAGTAGTTATCTCCGGGTTTCTTTTGTGAGGCATCCAGTTGAATCTTCAGTCTGCAATATACAGAAATGTTTCATCTCTATGATTGTTATATAGACACGACAGGTTGATATTTCACAAATGTATTATTTAATTCTGAAATCTGCTCCAATGTATAAATATATATCTCTCTCTTGAATTCGTCACAAAATGTATGTCAATCCTTGTAGTTAATCATGATAATTATACATGTTCTTCCCCTTACCTTCTGTTATAAACGATGGATGTCAGCAGAGCGATGAGCGACAAGACGAGAAGTGTACCAAGTGTTGCTGCAACTGGCACTACCTGGTTTGAGTATCCTGATGTTGCCGGACAACCTAGTTTCAGAGCATAAATAAAGGGCTCATATAAGTTGCCTTAATATCTTACCAAGTTACTGTCATTAAATTAATACGAGAAAACAAAGAATTCCTATTCCTATTTCCTGATTGATCTTGCTGTTACTTGTCTGGATGACTGAGAAAATTTTGCATATAGTCGGAAAAAAACTGTTTTTTCACTACGTTTCCTACTTTTAGTGACTTACCTTGACACAGGGGCTTGATGAAGTTACCCTGACATCCTTCGGGACATTCTCCACTGGACTTATCACAGTTTAGGCCGTCTTTACACTGACCACATCGTGACGTGCAGTCATCCCCGTACATACCATCAACACAGTCTGGGGAGGAGACGAGATAGACTTTTCATCTGACCGCATTGCTTTTGTAATTACAATGCTGCGTCCAGCGCAAAAGAGTGTGTATCACGGAATGAGACATTAATAATAACATCCGTCACATTAAAAATGTATCCCACCTTTACAAAATGGTTCTTGAAACTCTGTCTGACAACCTTGATCACATGTTCCATTGATCTTGTTACATGGTAGGTTTCCTTTACATTGGCCACACTCAGTCTGACAATGGTGTCCATGACGACCGTCACTGCAAGCTGTAAATATATCAAAAACCACCAACAAACATACTAAAATATTTCAATTTAACAGAATAATTAAAGTTTTAAGTACCAACCCTGTGAACAGTAATCTGGCCACCATCCAGGTTGGCATCCTCCAGGACATTTCCCGGTCACCTTGTCACAGACGTCAGTATCCAGGCAGTGACCACACGGAGATGCACAATTGGCACCATAACGTCCGTCTGGACATGCTGTAGACAGTAACATAAACACGTGTCTTAGTGAAAGAGTGAGTGAGTGAGTTAAGATTAAGTCACATATCGTGACTATAAACAAGTTTTGAATTCACCATAAATACATGTAAATTATAAAAACCTGCCGACGAAGGACAGTAAAATCAACTAAAATATCACAATATCAAGAAATAAAACTAGCATCTCTCTCTAAAATTTGATTTTTAATTAGGACAACACAGCATAAAAATGGGCTAGAGATGGCCAACAACCGAAGGCAGATCACCATACTAGGGACCATGAGGACTTACATTACTTTCGCTACGTGTCTTAGCCTAAGCAATTGTAAGCTTCTGTGATTCAGTCCATTTTGTGAGCATTTCATCATCAAGGACATTTGGGGCATATTGGCCATTACTCGTGAGAAGGACACATTGCTTAATAATCGCATACGCAGATGTCCCTATGTATTTGTAGGCTGATCTCATGATATTGAATCTTTCAGCTGTGTTTATGCAAATCAGAAACTTTATTACCACTCGGTTCCAAATCTAAGCAAGCGGTATCCAGTCTTCAGTCAGTGAGTGTACCAACAATGCCTCCTTGGATGGTCGTCAGGACGAAGATTCATTTTGACATCTGATTTCTATGCACAGGATATATACCGTCACCGTGCTTTACGAATATTCTATTTCCGTTTTAATTACCCTACCAGCCGTGACACATTTACAATACGTCAATGCAAAACAGATAATTTTGAATATGTTGACCAACCCTCCTGTTGAATATTGAGACATGCATGTTAACACCAGTTTAGGTAATTTGATGTTGTGGTTCAGGACTTAATTGACACGTGAAATAAGTCTGTCATGACAAAGTGCGCCGTTTCCACTCGAAGAAGATGATTCATATAAAATAGAAACTAAGGATTCATAGTTACTGAGAAAAAAATAACACACGATCACAAAAACAGTATACACTATCAATAAAAAATACAAGTAAGGGGTTTGAATGTAGACTCTCGTCACTCCTGTTCCGTTTCAGTCTCCAGCTGTGACATATATACATTATCTGGAAACATAACGTCAGTGGAATCTTACCTTTGTCCGTGGTGCGGCATTTTATAATATCATAGGCCAATACATCATCAGTTTTGTTCAGGTTATCCCCCTTGAGTAACCACTGACGAAACAGAACAATATTTTTACCAGTCTTCCGATTGAAATGTGAGACATAAGAAATGCAATATCTGCTACATGTTATAACTTCATATGACTTACGCTGGTCACACCTGTCACTGAACCACCTTGCTGCACATCCTCCAGGACATGTTCCATTTGTCTTGATGCAAACATCACCATCCACACAGTTGCCACACTGGAAGCCACAGGCTAGACCATAGTAACCATCTGGACATGCTGTGTACATAAACGAATTATTTTGTTCAGGTACTCTTCAATATGGCGAGCTACATCTACAGTTAATCCGCTAATGTAGTTCCGGATTTTAACGTGACAAATAGGACTGCCATGGCACTTGATGAAGATGTTCATAGAAATAGAAATTTAAATAATTGACACTTGTTTTGGTCTAACTTTAGAAGGCTATTCAAACTTTCTTTTATTGGCTTCCGTTCAATGACCGGATTAGATAATGCAGTTAAATATAACCGAAAATACGAGCTTAAGTTCTAATGCACGTTTGCTGGACGACTGTTGGTAATACAAAACCTTGAAAATATATTCGACGAGCCAACACTGTTGAAAGAAACCAATAAAAGAGGGAAACATGCAACCAAAGTATAACAGTATGTGTCTTCTCATTGACAACACTTTACCTTAAATTCGAACTATTTTGCATACCTGTTTGGCAGTCTGTTCCATAATATCCTGGGAGACATCCACTAGAACAGTGACCAGTGATCTTGTCACATACATCAGTACTGTTAAGGCACCGGCACTGTTTGTCACAATCTTCAGAAAACCACCCGTTACTGCAAACTGAGCATTCTTTGACGTATTCATTATTATGTAGACAATGTTGAGGTGAGTCCTATGCAAGGCGGTATGTTTTACAATCTATCTGCACTTTGATATTACTGGTAACGTTCGAACAGTGAATACACAGTTGCTCTCAAAAAGAGTTCAAATAGATCGTATATTATTATTGGTGTTACACGTTCTCAGTAAAGTACATGTTCTAGTAGTTTTGGGGGTTGAGTTCAATCCGTTAGTCCAACCTGCATTCTCAGAGTAAGGCATCTTATTACCAACATACAAAGGCATCAACCTTGTATCAACGATTGAGTGATTTCTCAATAACATAACATAACATGTGAATCCACGACACACGATGTGAATCCTGGCCACGACATACCAAATATCTGCACTTCACACAAAGTAAGGAATTTCAGTGGACCAGGTATCCGTATAGTGACCGTGGTTCCTGTCAGTGGCTGGCGGCAGGTGACGTTAGCTAAAGGAGGAGGATGTTCAGTTGATGACCAGTTGTAGCACATCTGGCTGCCCACAAGTATCTCCATGCCGTTGCTTCTCTCCTGAACTGTTCAGGATGAAGATTAATATGATAAATAGATAATCTCACCGGCATGACCAGGGATATATCACGTATATGAACACAATTAAAACCTTTGCGGTTCTTACCAAATGTTTCACTACGCGTTGACAGAAAAACGAGGTCTTAGATCTGTCAGCTTTCATAGCTGCCAACAGATATGTCTTTCCCCCTTTCACACTTTAAATATCAGTCATAGGAAATGTAGCATATTTTCGGTGTATTTGAAAACGTGTCATTATCTTAGTATCTAATGATACAATCTGTAGCGTAGTGACTTCAGTTAGACGTATCAATGGATGACATTAAATGTCATGTGGCCGAATCTGCAAGACTGAAAACGCAACAAGTCTCAACAAATGAAGAATAGTACAATGACATGGTTCTGTGATTTAATGCAGTCATGACTGTCAAATCTTTTTAATTCAAACAAACCTGATATTGTAAAATCAATAGCTTTGTATCTGAAAATTGTATTCATTGCTCAAAAACATGTTACTAGCACTACATGAAATTGTTCTTAAGGCCTTCCATTACCATTCAGTACAGTGCATCTGTCTAAATAATCAACTTAGTGCTGGGCAAGACGACGGCTGCTATAAACTGTGATATTGTCGAACGCAACGCTCTTCGGACGTATTTCACGACGTACAATAGTGTTACATGTTTCCTTTCTAAACAGGGCTTCTAGGACTATTAGATGCATGGCTGTTTTGGGGCAGGCACCAATGATAACATTTAAGGCCACTGAATACTTAGTATCGTGCAGATAACTGAGACCACTTGACGTGTATTTTATAAATGGTGTGCAGGACTGTCTGAATCTGTGAACATAAATTATCTGTACAAATGATTCTACAAACCAACACAGCGATAAATGTGTAAACTGCTGTGTCCAGCACTGATTTAAGCAGTAGATTTTTATAGATTTGTTAATTTCAAGAATAAATGTTTGCATGTTTATTGAGTATCATATGATTTCACATAAAACTGAAAAAAGATAATAGATTGATTTGGAATTTGCTGATCACTGATAAGAAATGGTTTGAACAGTATATTTTCCTGCATTCTCTGAACATTTTGATCTAAAACTGAAAGCAAGCAACAGTTGTCTGTTACTAAGCAGATATATTAACAATTTGATTGTCGTTGATTTTTAGCTTGAAATATATAGGGTTTTAATTGGTCCATTCCGTCTGTATTGCGTTCTTTCTGTTTTAGGAAGGTATCTTTCATTTTAATCTCTTGGTTTGTTCGTAACAATAGTAAGTGCAACATCGTAATGATTTTGCATTGTGATTCACTCATTAACTAAACAAAATAGATGAGCGTCATTCGTATGTATGTACTCACGCCTGTCCCGCAGATAGAGCCTGATGTGTTGTATCTTCTCTGGAACTGGAGTGTTCAGGTTCACAGTCCAGGTGGGATTTGACTCATTCTTTGTATGAGCACATGTCCGTGGCAAGCTTAGGGCATTTGTGGTGGCTCTGCCGTCTACACCGAGTCCTGCTCCATAATTTGTAGCATTTCCGTCCAATGTACTACTCTGGCTACACGATCTCATTAGCGCAATATTTCCTGACAAGATGAATACAAAATCAACATAAAATGTAATGTAAACAAATATTGTTGACATGTGTTCATACGATTATCTGTATCCATCTACGTCATACTCACGTGTCTGACAGTACGGACCAAACCATCCCTCATGACACATGTCCTGACCATCCATCTGACTACAGGGAGTTGAGGGAAACGAGTTACAGAGTTCTGTGGTACTACAGTGACATTCTGCATCTGTTTGAAAAGCATGGTTCCACTTGTTACTCAGTCATTTGTAAAAGGTTAAATGCAGTAAAATACTGACAGGATTCGGAGAAAGCAAAGTACTTGATAATAAAGTTAACTCACGGTGTGCAAATATATACACTTGTTTCACATACTGTGAATAACGTTCCTACCAATGTGAGTCACAGTGACACAGACCACAAGAAGTCCCATCCAGAACCATCCCATGTTGGATACCTAAAAGAGGCAAAGAAAATGAAACTTTCCTAATCCTGATCATAAAAATTGTCAGTCTTACTGACGACAATCGGAGACAGGTATCAATAATATATATATATTGTTTACAGGCATGACTGCAACTGGCATAGTGTCTGAAATGAGAGATTAATGTGTTATGTACTTTAAACGAATCTCAACAAGAAAAAAGTCAGAAGCTCAACCAACCAACACAAACCTGTTTTCCTTTCCTTCCCTCAAATATTATAGCATGCTACTGCAATATAAGCGTTGACATTTTTATTCCAAACCCTTTGAGTTGTTTCAAATGCCAAAAATATGGCCATAGTGCACTCGTGTACAAGATCTGACACTGCCTTCTGCAGGGAGAAAATTAAAAAAACGGAAGATTGTGAGAATGATGATAAAAGGTGTGCTGTTCAGGAAGTCACCCATTCTCCTCCAAAGACAATCTTGAAACAACTGATGTAAGTAAATATAATTAAATTTTCCAGAAACATCAGTTTTTTCTGATGTAAAGAAACTTGTTCAGTCTATAGAAGCTAATGGAACCTATGTGTCTATCGTTAGGACACATCCTGAAATAACTCTGAAAGTAAATGCATCATCAATTAACTGCAACACTTGACTTTGGAGAACATAAAATCTCAAGGAAATGTGGAACATACCAAGGCAAGGACCAAAACTTCGAAAGGACATTAAAGTGATAGGGTAGCAAAGGGGTCAAATAATCTTTGGTTTAAGTTTGGATCCCTCGAAAGATAAGGCTGAAGGTACGGGGTATGTCCCCAATCAATTCACCCAGAAAATACCTTACCTAAACATTATTATCCTGTGAAAATTTTGAGGACTGAAAGCCAACTGTAACGGCTTACAACTATAGGATTAGGATTTAAGTCCATCAGCATTCTGTCTGCAAGAAACATATCTGAAGCAGACAGCTAATTTCATTTTACGACAGTTCATTGCATGTCATTCTTTTACTCCACCGGGTGATAGGACCACATGAGCATCTTCAATCCTTGCTTGGTATGATGCAATACAAAGCCCAGTTATGCTTAAAACTAATCTTCAAGCCTTTACAGTGCGCCTTACTCCGTCCGTTGCTTTTGCTCTCTGCTCGCTATTATATTCCGCCATCTTTAGCTCCTCAGCAGGTTGTTCTACGATCAACTTCCCAAACCGTATATAATTATGGGTGCTTTTAATGGCCACTTTACACTCTGACTAGTAGGGACATATTTCATACCAAACATTTCTCAAAATATTTGATATTGAAATACTCCCAATGTTATTATATGGTTCAGAAGCGTGGGATTTACAACAGTTTGATGTGATAGAAAAAATGCATTGTAAAAGTTCTTAAGTGTGAAAATATGTACATCTAGCCTGATTGTATATGGTGAGTGTGATCGATTTTCGCTTTATTTACACCTAAATATTTAGGTAATCAAATACTGGTTCAGACTTCTTGATATGCCGTCATACAGCCCCCCACCCCACCCCCCACCCAATGTAAAAGTTACAAGATGATGTTACTTTATGACAATAATGGAAAGAGAAACTGGGTTACTGGTGCTGAAGAGTTACTTTTCAGTAGTTTTATTGACACGTTTGACAAGATCAGAATGTGTATTCAAATTCACATTTTGTAATGTCATAAACACAAAGGCTAAAAGATGTTTATGTGCAAAAATGGACTGCTTCACTGGCTTTTTCAAATAAATGTTTTTATTACAAATTGTTTAAATCACAAACAATTCAGGAAGTCAACATTTATAAGATTATTGTTAAAACGTTCCGAACAGCTCTTCCAAGCAGATGTTTTCTCGTGAATCGAGACGTTGTATAAACATTAGTCGGGACCAAAGAATTTGCAACGTTTCTAACTACAATTTAGTTGAAGATGAGTTTCATTTTCTGTTTGTATGCCCTGTTTACTGACAACTTAGTGAAAGATAATCCTATTACTTTACATACACGCATGTACCTAAATTTTATTTACTGTTATTACATGCAACTGGTAAAGTTCAGCAAGATTTAGCTATGTCCATTTATCATGCCTCCATGTACAGAAATAACATCAACACAAATTGAGAGTCTGCAATTCAGCTGTGTGACTTTTTACAGTTATTTTTATACCTTTATATTATGTCTGATTGTGTATTTTGTATTGTAATGTACTATAGGCTTGTGGCCTTAGTAAGTACTGAAATAAAGATTAAAAGTTATTCATATATTTACCAATACGTGGTTGTGTATTTGGGTTCGAGAGTATTCAGTACAGATGAACTTGAGTCCGTGCAGTAAGTCACGTGATGGATGTGCTATTAAAGGGTAGATTGCACGTGCAACAGTCACTTGACATTCACGACTGACGGGGCAGGACTGTTGTTGCGTGCCTCGGCTGTATCTGCAAACATGGAGAACTCTTCGGATGACGGTGTACACGACTCTGCTTCTTCGAAACGTTCGGAACAACCAAAAGGTGACGACTTTCAGTCTTTCCAACTATTCTGGGATTATTTATGCTAAACTGTCTACACTTAAGAGAGAATTCATCAGTGAATCAGAGCAACTGTCTTTGTCTATTGCCAAGAAAGTGAAATATGATAAATACCCTGACATCAAATATAAAGGGAACTCCTGTGCAATGCAAGTTTAATCGTGGCATTTTGGCTGGTCTAGACAACATTACGTCATCATTATGCAAGAAAGATACTACTGCTATGTGTGGAAAAATTGAGTCTCTCTCTGTCTCTGTTAAAAAATGCAACAAGTTTATCCGTTTAGCGGAAAAAATCCCCAGCTGGTTGAGGTGTTGTCACAGAACTGGAAGGGAGCCGCGTCGCTTCAAGCTTTGATGAGGAACGTCAGTTTGAGAGAGCTGATGCGAAAGCTTTCAGGAAACGTAGCCGAGGCTGCCGCAGCAGCTAAAATCGTCCATATGGCCCTTCACTTGCTCATGTCAATCAACGTACAGGGCAACAGGAGGTGCATAGCGATAATCAGTCTTCAACATTTCGGAGCTAGAACCGGAGGGGTCCAGACCAAATCAACAGTGTTACTATTGCGGAGAACTCGGAGGCAGACGTGTCCAGCAGCTAAAGCTTTGCCTTCCCGCGACATGCAGTATGACGTCACAGGATCCGGAAGTGACAGAAAGTAGCAAGGGAGCGTAGAAGCAGGCCACGACCATAACCAGCAAGATGTCAGATTCAGACCAAACCACAAAGGCATGCACCAACTTGATGGAAAACCGGTGGTGATGCATAAAGCGTCAGCTTCCGAGCACCCACTCTACCCGTCGGAACTTTGGACTACACCTCACCGAGGACATCTGGCGGACCTGCATTGTTGGGGACGAACTAGCGTTTGAATTCTTACTTCGTTCGATTTCAAGATTATATCCATTGTAGGTAAGCGTTTCAATCAGAAGTATCATTGTTTCATAGTGAATATTGTTAGTTTTCACGCTACTATTATTCCTGGATTCTGACGTCATATCCGACATTTTCTGTTTAATGGCCGACGAAGTTTAGCAGGTAAGACGAGTTTGTATCCCGGACCTTTAATTTCAGTATGCATAATTTCATCTTTACACTACTTTTTATGCATCTATATCAATAGCATTACCGGAATCTTCTGATAATTGTTTTGTCATTTTTCAAATATTGGGGATATACGGGCGGAAGTCTTACCGGTTTATGGTTCCAGGGACAGAAGCGGGGGATTGTTTCACACAAGATTGTTCACCTGACAATAATTGGGTTGTGCCTCCTTTCAATCTGATATGTAAAACCATTGATTTTGTTTTGTACAATAGCTGCAGAGCTGCCATTGTGATACCGCTGTGGAAGTCTGCTGTAGTTTGGCCAAGAGTATTCAACCGTGACGGGGAGTAAACCAGGTATATCAGGGTCTGGGAAATCAAAGATGGAATCATTTTTGCCAAAGGTGCAGCGAAAATTATATTTGATAAGAATTTCACGGGATCAGCTTCAGCTATCAGATTTTTCTGAATGCTTTCAGATGTGTTTTCACTCGGTGTTTGGAAGGAGAAGGAGGGGCTTAAAGATCCATCTTTGATTAGTCCAGCGGAAAGGTTACTAGAATTACTATTAGAATCTAGAGCTAAGACTACTGTGAAACAGTATGAAGGTCGATTTGTGAAGTTTAAGGATTTGTGTAAACAATTTAGTATCAGCCATATACCGGCTTCTGCATTTCATGTATCATTGAACGTATTATCTCTAAAGCAGGACGGCAAGAGTCCTGCATTAATTCAACAGTCGATTTGCGCCATAGGCAGGGCACATTATTTAGCAGGCCTACGAAATCCATGTCAGTCACATTACGTCAAGTCTGTGCTTGAATCTTCGCGGAGATCTCTCCATTTTTCTAATCAGGCGAAAAGAACCTATAACAGCAGATATTCTAGAAAAGTTAAAAGATAAGGTTCCTGTTGACAGCTTATACAACCTGAGAAATTTAACATTTTGTATAGTTTCTTTTGCTGGGTTCCTAAGGTTTTTTGAGGCAGCAAGTTTAAGATATTCTGACATAATCTTCCGGGAAGGTCACATAGTTATCTTTAAAGAGAAAAAGCAAGGTTGTTGCTGCAACTCAATCAGAATTGTGTCCAATTAGTATTATGAAGTCATACCTAGTACAAGCATTTAGATATTACTGTGATGAATATATCTTTAAACCAGTTAATTATTGCAGAAAGTCAAACACTTATGAGTTAAGAGGCAGCAAGCCAGTCTCTTATGCACGTATGCGAGAGATAATTCTGAGTATGTTGGAGTCTGCTGGTCTCAAGAGACAGGATTTTGGGGTACACAGCCTCAGGTCGGGAGGGGGGACCGAAGCGGCCAATGCTGGAGTGCCGGACAGGCTATTTGAGCGTCACGGTCGGTGGCGGATAGCTTATTGGCAATACTCAATGTGACAAAAAATGGGAATTTGAAAGTTGTGATCTCCTGTCCAGTAATAAA